AATTATTAGAAAGATAATGACTTCTATTGAAAATTACATGATTATTTATGCATAAAATTCATGATTATATTGCCTAAATTTTTCAAAATCCATTGAAGAAAATGATTACTCTATGTTTGTATTCTTGTCGGAGCACCAATCACAATGTCATTTTGTCTTAAGCTACCATCAATAACATATTTTATTATTCACTACGCACAATAATACAAATGAAATGCTTAATTTGCATCCATAATTATCAATATTTTTAAAGAAAATTACAGATCTGAAAGTAATTTTAAGATCTATGAGTTTTTTTTGTTTCACCGGCAACAATGGTGTTGCCCACCGCATATCACCACCGCCAACATCTCTTACTTCATAATCATCTTACTATTTCCTATTTTCTCTTCAAATTTTCTCTTTTTTCCTTCAACTTATGAAGAAGGAAGAAGAAATGAATTTAAAAAAGTAAAGAGATGGTGAGGGGAGGAAGAACACAGGGAGTAGAAATAACTATTTTGAAAAAGTGTGAGAAAATATTAAGGAAAAAAGGTTAAAAAATATAAAATAATATTATTTACGTCATCAAAACGCGTGTATAACATTTTCTCACACAAAAACTGAGATTGTCTTCGGAAGGGGGAATTAATATCATTTTGAATAAGATTAGGTGTGTAATAGGTCATCATGATACTTTAAGCGTGTAACTGACTTTTCGGAACAAATTCAAGGGGGAATTTATGTCTTTTCTGTTAAATATAGTTAATGTTATGTCATGTATTCAGGTTAGTAAAAAGAGAAACAGAAAAGATGAAATACACAGAAAATGAGAGAAAGTTTTCAGTGTTTGAAAAATGAGAGAAATTTCTCTATTTATTAAGAAAAAAGAAATTAATTAATGAGATTGATTGAATAAATTTTGCCTAAAAAGTTATCAATCAATTGCCGAAGCCGAGCGAGCGACGACGACGACGACGCGAGGGGCACCTTCTACTTAACCCTTTAAGAGCTAAATGAAGTATTTCCTAATATAATTAAGGACAACTCTTTTTCTTTCTTCTATCAATGTGAGAAAAATGACTTTTCATTTTCAAAAGCTTGTACCATCAAAAACTGCAGGCAATAGAGAAGATCCAACACTTTCTGATGGATGTAAGTAAAGAGGACTGGCAAAATCTATTCGAACTGATGTGGGATCAGCATGAAGATGAGAGGAACTCGAAGTAGCTTCAACTTGGAGATTAACCATATTGAGAATCGCGAAAAGATTCAATCACTCAACAATCAACCAATAACAACACGAAACAAATGCAGGTCCAATCGTGACAATCGAACAAGAACAAGATGAATCCTCCAGATAATAGTTATTATAATTGTGCAACATATTTGCTTATTAAAGATGTTAATTTATCATGATGTCTATGAAATTAGTAGAGGGGTTCAAATGATTTGCTTGATAAAATTTTAGAGAGCGTGATTGATACAACCATATAATAAAATGTTATACTAATTTGTCCATCACTATATAGAGACGAATTTAGAATTTTAAATATACGAAATTCCTAGTAAGAATGTTTATCAAGCGGTTTAATTGAATATTTATACTTAATAATTTGGCTTGTTGATTATTGACATTGTATGAAATCATTAACTTAACATTTTTAAAATATCAATCACTCGTTAGCTTTTATCAAATATGTGAAATTGAAAGATAAAAATGCACCTATGCTACTCTAATCACAAATAAAAATTTATGTTGGAAAACCATTAAAATTATTTATGAACTAATATAGTTTCACAAATATATATAAAGGGAATATTTCATAAATATACAATAAAGTAGTTTAATTTGCACTAAATATAGCTATGTTTTTTTTACAAGAAAATATCCCAAAATTAGCGATAATATAAAGGATTACTTATATATATATATATATATATATATATATATATATATATATATATATATCAATGTGTATATATAATGTATCGTTATTGCATAAATAGTGGATAATTGTGTATAGATAATGTATACCTATGTACCACAGATATAAATACATCTATTTACATTATTGATACAATAACATATACACTGCAAACCAATTTTCTTATCAATCCCAACCAGCTCAAACCTCCTCTAACAGTCCCAAAATTTTGATATGAGTTTCTCTAATTATTTTGAGTCTTTTGATATATTACTGAGAAAATTAAACCTTTGAACTTGGTAGCCAGATTTTATTTTAGCACTATAACTTTACGGATGTTTATTTACCTCCTATTCTTATTTGAACTATAATAAATACCACCCTAAAATCATATACCACTTTCACAATGTGAAGTGCATTACATACGCACCACATCAGTACCATGTCATTGCCACATCTACGTAGAAAATTGGCTAAATTTTATTATTTTCTCTTCTTTTTTTTTGTTTATCACCATTTTTCCTTTTTCTTGCTAATATTTTTATACATTAAGTAATTCTAGGGATCATAACAATGATATTGCAGTTCTAATGAAAATTGATGATTGTGATAAAGAAAGTCAATAGACCCCCATCTTTTTGCACCACAATGATTTAAAAAATAAAATAAAATAAAAAGATAACCCAAATTTCAAGAATATTACATCAATTTTATATAATTAGCTTCGATTTTTTTACTATTATTGTTGAAAGGAATTAACTCTGGTTTTTGGCTTCCATTATTGAAAGGAATTAACTTCTATTTGAGGAAAATGATGATATTGCTCTCTTCAATTTATTTTTTAAAAAAGGAAAAATAATTAAAAAGTATGAATTAAGATGCAGAAAGGGGTGGTAGGAGAAGGAGAAAGGGCATTGGGAGGAGTAGGGGTGGGGGGCTTAAAGAAGGAGGAGGAGCTAGGGCAGGTGTTTTTTGTATTTTTTATTAAATAATATAAATAGTAGTGGGATTTAAGGAAAAAAAAATAAAAAAGAAGAAAAAAGAATGTGCCTTAATATTTTTGTCAAAGTCAACTTTTTAGATGGTATTACATTTACTTGAAATGAAATTAGGAGGATAAATAAATGTTTGTACAGTCAAAATGTTAAAGTAAATTTGAACGTCAAGCTCAAGAGGAATTTTATTCATTTAAAGAAATTTATTTTTGTGATATGTCGATTTTTAAAATCGAGCTTTGAAAAAGAAGGGGGAGGAAAAGAAGAAGAGGATGAAAGGAAGGAAGAAAACAATAAAGAAATAAAGAAGAAGAAATCATTAATGGCAAAAAGAAGACAAAGTCTTCTTGTTTTGTTATAACTTATAAGTATTGTTAAAATCATAAATTTATGATGAAATTCTCACAATTTCATTATAAACATCATAAAACAAAGAAAATAGAGAACGAAGAAGGACAAGGGAGAAAATCAGAAAACAGATAGGACGAAGAGAAAAACACCAAGATATGGCTATATTCAATAATAAAGCAATAATTGAGTATTTTTGTTATAATAATAATCAAAGGGTCATTTTTGTTTAATTTATTCTAAAATAAACTTATAGATATACTACAATAACTTGCAAATAAGTCGAAAGATAGTTCACACCATAAAGACAACATTTATATAAATCAAGAGTCCCTATAATATATACGGAGGATCATAATCACAAGATTGATGCCTATTTTGATTTTTAATGTTAGATTTTTCCAGTCAAATGTTGCTATAAAACGTGACTATTAAATACGTTTAATCTATTTATGTAAATCTTAGAAATATTGTATTATTTTTGTTAATTGCCGTAAATAATGTATTAGTTATGTAGAAAATTCCTAGTAAATTAACTTTATATTTTAATAATTTAGTGATCAACAGTTAACAAATCAAGTGAAAGGATTCTTATTTTTATGGTTTCAAATTTGATTTGAAATGTTGGAATTGGGTAAAAATAATATTTTATTGATTGATATCTTTTCAATTGACTTTGTAGAAAGAGTAAAAAATGTGCAATCACTTGTTAAAAAGGGCTTTGATGTTCCCTACTTCTTTTTGAACCAACAACACAATCAAATATGGATTCCCATCAAACAATAATTATAGAATTAATATAAAAAAATTAATATAATTACATATCTACCATAATAAATCTTATCCACTATTATAGAATCCCGCACCACAAATAATTGATTGATACAATTACACATAGGCAACACGATAAATAATTAAAAAAACATGAAACAATTTATCTTATCATATGGTTACTAAACGACAATTTACGTATTTTGAAATTTATTTACACGTATAAGTTGTCGATCTAAACTTCTTCTTTTTTTTCTCTATTTTCTTATATCACCACGTAATTTCGTACTCTTTGTTTTTTTCTTTTAATTTTATTTAAGAGCAGCCTCTATAAAATAATTTATTCCTACAAACTACTTTTCTCAAAAACGTAAAGCCACCATTTGAATAATATTTGTAGGAGTACTATGACCATGGTTTTTTAGACAATTTCTCCAAAAGAGTTTTCTTTCTGATGATTTTGTCTTTTATTTCCTTGTGGAATCCATCCAAAATTGTTCTTCCTAGTTGAATTAATTAATTAGTATTAATATCTATTATTGTTGAATACAAGTCTAGTGGATAGTATCGTTCCACAACATGTCGTTTATCTAACCTTTATTTTAGAAAAATAGAGAAAAAAGTATAATAAGTAGTAAAATATATACTAGCAAGAAAACATGAAAGCTACGAGATATCTAAATAGCTCTTAGTTAGTTAAATTTTCATATAATATATTACTAATCCGTAGTTAAATAAAATTAGCATGATTGCTAATCCTTGTTTTCTCGTAATGTATTATAAGTTCAGCTTAACATGGTAGTTAAATTTGATTTAAACTACTAGGTTATTGGGTACACACTAATTATGTGGGACACGATTAAAAGAAAATTTTCAAATAGTTAAAGGTGCAACGATACTTTTAATGAAATTCAATTAACGTGATTCCAAGATTTCTCCTTGTCGATTTTTGCTTATTTTCACACAAATTCCATTATTAGGTAAATTTAACGTACTAGTAATACACATCAAAGTTCAAGCATCTTGATATTTCTTCGTAGACAATTGCTTTATGAATTGCACGGTGACTTCAACGGAGTTGGTAGCAGCAAGTGTGATGAAGGTGGATGCCTCGTTGGACTCGGAAGTGCCACCTCCGGCCATGTCAGAGAGGGCACGGATAACGATGTAAGGTACATTCTGTTGGTAACAAATGAGAGCCACAGCAGCACTTTCCATTTCAACAGGGCTAACATCAAACTTGTTGTAGATAAAACTCCTATATGCTGCATTATCTAAGTATATGCTTGCACTTGTTCCTCTATGTACTCTTGTTACTTTTGGTGGATGACTCAAACATGTCGTTGCGTTTAAACACCCTTCGAGCTTCAAACCCTAGTTACGTAGCACATCAAAAGTTATTTAGTTTCACAGAAAGTACTTTCTATCTATTTGCATACTAACAACATGTAATATTAATGTCTTGTAAATAGCTTGACTGACCCATATTGACAGCTCTAAGTATTACAGTAATAATTTAAATTACCTCGAGTGTTTTGGCGATTGCATAGTAACGAGGGTCAACAGGGACCCAAAAGATATGTTGTCTTTCCTCTGGAGTGCCAAATACAGGGAATACTTCTTCAGGTTGGTACCATATATTGTTAAGAAGATTGTTATGTGAGTTGCAATTTGTCACATTCACATTGTATTCCGAAATTTTTAAGTATCCAATATCTCTTGTGTAATCTCCATTCACTTCAAGCGGTAGTTCATTTTCAGCGCCATCTCCATATCTCTGCATCCGGTATTTTATTTTTTATAATATAATAATTAAATTGAAATAGCCAAATATTTTTTAACCTAAACTATACGATTTTTTTCAACTATTTTTCTTTATTGCACAATTTCAATATGAGGAGCTTAAAATTCAATTATTTTTTTTAAAAAAATATAGTTATTTGAAAACCCTACGCAGTCCGTCACTCTTTGTTCTTCGAAGATTTGGAGCTTGGACAAAATATAATTTGGTTTACGCGTGAACTTTGCTTCTACGTCTTAATATATCCTAATATTGACTTTTCTTAGAGTCTAATATTTTTCCGCTGATCAATTTTTTTTAGAAAAACATTTTCCTTTGTATCAAACACCAATAACTTTTAGCCGTCATTCCCCAAAATGCATTGAAAAGTAAATACCTGCCAATTCCAAAGAGCAGTATGTGCCCAATACTGAGGAATTGCAACATCTCCAATATTTAGAGATGGATTTGCATTCCCTGCAATTCCATAGTGCACCACACCTTTAACATTGAACAATGCTAACAAAAGTTGTGTTGTTATCCCAGCGTTTAGCTGAAAAATTCAAGAAAAAACGTATAATTAATTAATACGTACGTATAACGTCACAATTATAATTATAAAAGGGAAGATATATATATATATATAAATTTACACACCATGGCAAGTCCAGTCATAACCAAAACGACAGGTTGATTATCAATGTGTCCAAACCGAAATCTCCTCCCTTAGGATGATAAACAAACGTAAATATATATAATCGATAAGCAAGTGATCGAAAAAACGTAAAATAATGTGTATATGTTTTAGTTTAATTACCAGCATAATCAATGGTGAGATCACCAGGTTTGTAACTAGGATGTTGAAGAAGAGGGTTCATTTCAAATAGATTTGGAATGACTAATCCCAAATAAGGTCCTTTTTTGTTAGCCATATCAATTAATTTTCTAGTCTTTCCACTAATAGCACCATTTGCTTCTTCTAGGGTAGTAATTAGAACCAAGAAAACCAAAACTAATGACAAAAAAAGCTTGGAAATTGCCATGGTAGACACTTTGAGTTTGAGAGAAGAGAGAGCTAAAGAGAATAGTATTGGCAAGGGAAACTAATAACATAGCCCTCATATTTATAGTAAAATTATAATTATATTACGTTGCATCATCCATCAATAATTCGACTATTCTTTAATATATATATTTTTGTCATGTAAAAGTTTTGTATAAGGCCAAACACATATACAAACTCTCACACTTTTCTTTATTTTTCATTTTGATACTCTATCTTAGTCTTGTTTCATTTTAATTAACCCTTAAACTCTATTTTTTATGTACCATTTAAACACGAAATATTATTTTTATGATTTCTTTATTCTTTTATTTATGTTCTTCAATTGCCGTGTCCGTTAATTTCATTTTTTAAAAATAAAAATTAACTAACGAACATTGATTTATTTTTTGAAATAATAATATTATTTTTTGAGATTTCTCTGTATTTTTGCATGAAAATAAATCGATGAAACTAATTTGATTTTCTTTCTTAAAGATTCAACTAAATTAAATAATGCCACATATTTATTTTTTTCATATCATCTAGTATATCTGGATTTAACACAAATATTCATTTTGTAATTTTTAATTTAACTCAATACAAATAAAAAAACTCATCTTCAATACGAGTAATAAAAAGACTCTTGTTCATTGCTAATAACACTATTAAAAAATGCTAAAACTCGACAGATTTCTTTGGGATGTCAATGAATTTTTAAGAAAGAAAATTAAACCAACACAATTTCGCATGCTATTTTTCACGCAAAATACAAAAAACTCTCAAGAAGATTATTTTTTTAAAATAATTAATTTTTAATCTTTTTTTAATGAAAATTAATAAACACACGTTGATTTTTAAAATAAGAAACAACAATTGAAGAACATAAATAAAATAAAGAAATCATAAAAATAGTATTTCATGTTTAAATGGTATATTAAAAAAATAAAATTTAAGGGTTAAAATGAAATAAGGCTAAAATATAATGCCAAAATGAAAAAATGAGGAAAAGTGTGAGGAATTGTGTATGTTTTTGGCCTTTGTATAACAACACTAGTTTTGGCATGAATCATGATACTCGACAATATCCTCTTAGACGATATTATAGGTGCACAAAAGTTTTAAAAATAAATTTCAATATTGGTACTAATCAACCAATAATTGTCACCTCAGATATCACTATTTAATGGTAATAATTTTATTTTATTTTTAAAATGCATTTGATGGTACGTAATAGTTATTTCTATAAAAACACTTAGTGATAATTGAGTTAATTTTATTGTATTTAGAGTCACTAAATTTTTTGAACGATATTTTTATAAAATAATATTGGTTCTAGATGCTCATATTATATTAGCGATAATGATGTATATACATTACTATATATCGTTTCAAAGAAAGTGAAGATCTAATACAAGAAGAATTTAGCTGTGACGGTTCAAGATAACATTGTTAAAATTTCTTTCAGAGTTATATATACCCTCAAATTAAATATCGTTATAAGTTATACCATTCTTTCGTTGTAATAAATTTCATTATTTTTTCAAATTTTTGTATCAATTAGGTTAATAATAATTCCAATACTATCGTCCACTTTAACTTACAAGGTAGGAATATTTTAATTAAATATAACTTATGTGAATTTTCTCTGCACGGTGGCGACTAGGTCACACCTTGATTGAATGTTGCCGGTTGACGGCCAGCCACCATTAATGGCTGGGCTGGACTCTGCCTCATCCGCCCAGTTTCCACCACTTTCGAACAAAATTCACACTGGACAAAACGCAATCCCTACTTCTCCATTTTTGAATAAGTTTGCAGACATTATTAAAGGACATAGTTCTTCAGGTAAAGAGAAAAATGTTGTGGAGGTACAACCTATTCCTATGAAAAAGCCGAATCTCATTGGTGGTATTCCTACCATTAGTTGGTCAGCAAGCGAAATACAACGAATGAATATCTTAGAAAATTTGCAGTATGCAGTGGTAGGCAAATTTTCCTATGGAGCTCCTGATATTAATGAGATACGAGATTTAATTCCAAAACAGTGTGGATTATTGGGATCTTGTCAAATAGGTTTGCTTCGAAATAGGCATGTTCTGATCAGATGTGATCTAATGGAAGATTATATTAAAATTCTATCGAAAAACTCCTACTACATAATTGCTAAGGATGGATATGCATATCAAATGAGGCCTTTTATCTATGATGCAAACTTCAAAGCTGGTGAAGAGACGACAAAGGCCACGATCTGGATTCATTCCCTGATTTGCTGCCAACATTCTTTGTGAAGGAAGTCCTGTTCTCACTGGCTTCTGTGGTTGGGAAGCCTCTTCAATTGGATCTGGCTACGATAAATAAGACCCGGCCAAGTTGTGCAAGAGTGAAGGTCCAAGTGGATTTGCTTACTGAAAAGCCTGAGTTTGTACAAATGCAGTTAGAAGATGAAAACACTCTTGAGAAAAGAGTTGTTACTGTGAGAATACATTATGATTCTTTACCTGCATATTGCATGAAGTGTAAATTACAGGGGCATGGTGAAGAAGATTGTAGGGTCTTACATCCAGAACTAGTACAACAGCACGAAGACAGGCAAAATACAACACAACTCATAGACAACAAACAATTATATAAGGGTGTAGTAAAGAGCAGATGGAAGCCTACAAACAGGAGTTTTACAAAGAAAGCTGGGGAATTGATGACAATTAAGGGACTGGAAAGGACAGACATCAACAAGAACAGTAATCCTTTTGCTATTCTTAGTCAAAATGTTCTAGTAGAGGAAGAGGTTGTAGATGTAGAGGTGCAAAATCAGAAGCAGATAGATGGGGTGGAAGATACACGGATTGAGATTACTCATGGGCTAACCAACAAGATTGAAGAAGAAATCGAAATTGCAGACAAAGAAAATGGAGAAAGAATTGAGGTTTGTGGCAAAACTGATGGGGTGGTTTCTGATTACAGCAAAGCTATTGTGCTTTTTAATGGAGGGGTTAACAGTGCAGTACAGAGAGGAGAGGACAAGGAAGAGGAAATTTCACAGAATCAGTTATCTACTAGACAGAATCTACAACAAACAGATTATCATGCTCCTTTACAGATTATGGACTCACAAGAAGCATGGTATCCTGTACAACTGCAAGGTTCTATATTACAGAGAGGGAGTGAAGAAGATCACAATCTGAAAGAGCTGGCAGTGGTTTGTCCAAAATCACAATCAGTTCAAACATTACATGAAATAGTGTCACATCAAGGGGTAATGGAGGTACAGGGTAAAAGGCTCAAACAGTCTAGTGATGTTGAAGATACGGATGAAAAGGAGAACCTGCAGGTTGAGAACATGTTGTTTAATGAAGCTGGTGTTTCATCTGCTACAGTAATCACACATAAAGGCAAGAATAAAGGGGAAATGCTACCCACAAGATCAAATCCAAGGAGAAGGGCTAGAAATGGGGTCAAATGATGTTAAAATCCTTATTTTGGAATGTGAGGTCGGTTAGATCTCAAAATTCATTCCATAGAATTCAGATGTTACATAGATACCACAAGTTTAATATCATAGCACTGATGGAACCTTTTCAGAATGTTGATAACATTCAAAGATTCAAAAGAAGATTGAGTATGGAGTATTCTAACTATAACTGCAATGGTAAAATATGGGTGTTCATTCAAGAGCATATTCAGGTTGAGGTGTTGGCGGATTCTGATCAGATGCTGACTCTGAAATTGTTATTTTTGGAGAATAATCAACATTTAATTGTTTATATTGTATATGCAAAGTGTGATGCTGAGGATAGGATGCAATTATGGAATGATATCTATTGTATTAGCAATGATATTCAGAATTCACCCTGGCTGATTGGGGGGATTTTAATGTCATCATGAGTGAAGAAGAGAAGATTGGTGGTCTGCCTGTATATCCTAATGAGTATGAGGATTTTGCATTTTGTGTGAACTCCTGTGATCTGGTGGATATCAGTTTTAAAGGGAGTCCTTTTACATGGTGGAATGGGAGGATTGATGATCAATGTATATTTAAGAGACTGGATAGGTACATGATGAACCAGGCTGGTCTAGGCAATTTTGGGTTAGTGGAATCTGAACATCTGGCAAGAACAGGGTCTGATCATGCTCCTATGCTACTAACTTGTGGCCAGAAGACAGAGGCTACTAGGAGACCTTTTAGATTTCTTAAGTTTTGGTCAGAACATGCAGAATTTCAGCAGATAGTGAAGGATAACTGGGTTTCAGAAGAAGCAGATGTGTTTATTAGGTTGAAACAAAAGATGAAGAAGACTAAAACTGCCTTATCTAATTGGAGTAGAGTAACTTTTGGAGATATTTTCAAACAGTTATCTATCAGGGAGGAGATTGTAAGGATGAAGGAGGTGTTATTTGAAACAAGCCCTACAACAGAAAATAGAAAGATTTTACAGAAAGCCCAAGCAGAATTAAAAATGTATGTGCATTTTGAAGAAGAGTATTGGAGACAGAAGGCATGTATTCAATGGTTTACAGAAGGGGAGAAAAACACAAAGTTCTTTCACAGTTTAGTGAGAGGCAGAAGGAAAAGATTGAGCATAAACAGAATTCAGAATAGGGAAGGAGTATGGGTAGAAGGTGAAGAGCTAGTGGCTGTTGCTGCTCAAGAGTATTTTCAGAAGCAATTCACAGGCATTCATACTATGGAGGAAGCCCCTCTATTGAGATATATTCAGAAAAAGGTTACTGATGAAGACAACAGAAGATTAAATGATTATCCTTCAATGGAGGAAGTCAAAAAAGTAGTGTTTGATCTCAATGGGGACAGTGCTAGTGGTCCTGATGGGTTTACTGGACATTTTTTCCAACAATGTTGGGATATAGTTGGGGATGATGTGGTTAATGTGGTTGGTGCTTTCTTTAAAGGTGTCACCCTTCCGAAGTCTATTACACATACTAATTTGGTCTTAATTCCTAAGAAAGATATTTGTCAATCTTTCTCAGATATGAGGCCAATTAGTTTGAGTAATTTTCTTAATAAAGTGATTTCTAGGGTGATGAATGATAGAGTAGGGGTTCTTCTTCCATTCCAGATTTCACAAAATCAGT